GAATGTACTAAGTCATGTGTAGCCCAATGACATGCACCATTAGCACACCATTAGTGCCCTTAAGCACGCTTAGCGCCTAATAGCCAAGAGATCGAGTTTCTCATGAAACTCACGTGCAACTTCAGCAAGGAATGGACACATGGAGGGCTGGGAGATGTTAAGAAGGTGACTAAGCCGTTGAAGTGATGAGTCAACCGAGAAAGCCACCCATCATCCCTTAACGCACGGCAAGTGGCGAGACTTAATTGGCCGAGACCTTATAAGCCAATTCTCCACTATTTACCATGCAATAAGGCAGCATTTTGAAGGGAAGGGGGAGGATTTACACGCACTAAAAACACAGCAAAACACTTAGCAACAATAAGGTTAAAATAGTGCAAGAACACACGCACACGAGCATAGGTGCGGAAGTGATGATTCATGGCCGTTTGTGGGAAATTCCTCGAACACTTAGTGAGGTAAGCTTATAATCAGTATCTATTCATGTTAATTAGCCCGTGTTTAAGTCAGTTCAGTCAGCTCATGTCAAGAAATTCATGAAAATGTCAAGTTAAGATCGGTTTAAGCCAATTTAGGCCATGATCGATTAAGTTCATGTTTTACCCGGCAACTCCTGTGCAATTGATACTTATTTCATCATGTTATATCCTTATATGTTCAGTATATAAAGATAGGTCGAGACAAGTTGAGGTTTAGACCATGTTTTGGCCTAAGGAAGTCGGTAGCGCATGCTTACGGGGCTAGTATATGCCCTCTTGTGTTATCTTTTAATATGATCAGAATCATGCGAGTAACCCTAGTCTCAATAAGCTTTAAATAGCATTTTATGATCGATCAAGCTTTAGTGGTTGAGGTAAATTGATGTTTGGCCGAGGATTGGCCTTAAGCCGACGGTAGCGCCCGTAGCGCACCTCACGGCACTTAATTGGGCAAAAGGCATGATTTTTAAGTGAGCTCAGTACATATGATCATGTTATGTTGTATTATGTTCATTCATGTTAAAGTTGCCGGAAGAAGTCGCCGAACGGCCGGCAAGGGCCGGTCGTGGCCATGCTGTCCGCACACAGCGGCAGCAGCGGGCTGGCAGCAACCCAGCACC